CCTCAAGGCAAAGGGATCTCTCAACACTCCTCCTTAGTCGCATCGCTCTTTGAGAGCGGAAGACTATCCCCTCATTCCCCTTTGCCTTAACGTCATCAAACAATACCGACAAAACGTCCTCCTGTGAGTATTGGAGACCGTTCGCAACACATGGCAATCGGGGAACAAGTGTAGCACTCCCGGAGTTCGAGCGCTACTGGTTATAACTTCAATTTCACAAAGCTGTGCATCCGACAGTCCCTGTGGGCCGTCGGTTTGAACTCCTATCTCCCGTGATCCCTGTTGGTTCCTTCTACTCTTATCCGTAGTCTCTCTAGGTGGAAGCGGAGGAGGTTCTGGGATAGGTGGAGTTGGAGGACGGACCAAAGTCCAAGTTGGTCGATGTGAGCTGGAGGAGGACGGAATTGTCTGCGAGGTCACCTCTGCAGTTGGTGGTGTTGAGACATGTACATGTACCTGCGGAGATGACACCACTCGGGTGTCCGAAGGAGCTGATGGTTCTCCTCCTGCTTCGGCACTCCCTCTATCTTGCCTACGTCTCAACCCTTCATCCGCCTCTCTTTCCAGTGCACGGCGGATCGTTTCCTGCCGTCTCTGTCGGCGGTCTTCATCCTCGGTGGGCCTAACTGCAGCTACTCGAACCTCAGAACCCTGTAGACACTGCCTCAGGCAATGCTTACCAAGCTCCCAGACGAATAGCACGGAAAATGCCATCATCACCGCTACCACATACAGGTCTAGGTCAACAGGTTCCCGCTCCTCATCTTCTTGCGAACTAACTGGTTGAACCTGTGACATCAGCAACGCCATAACAAGGATCAATCCCTGTCCTTCCTGCGTACACTCGATGTTCCGGAAACACCTGGATGTGGCCGCGATGGTTTGTACGGACGGGTCGTTATCATCAGATACCACTATCCCTAACAATTGGTTAAGGTACTCGAGTCTAGGGGCTGGCAGTGCCTTGGTTAACGCATCGGCGAGCTGCTGCTCACCAGGACAATGCCTGACCTGGAGGGCTTTCCCATCTATCATCTCCCTAAGGAAATTGGCTCTAACCCTAAGGTGTCTCGTTCTCTGCGAGCCTCCTCCCTCTGCAAGTGTTATTGCAGCTACGTTATCTACCCTTAAAGTAACCGTAAGATCTACCCCATACAGCTCTTCGGCAAGGGCTTGCACAGATTGGGCCAGCACAACTCCTTCGCACGCAGCAATAAGCTCACACTCTGCTGTGCTCAAGCTTACCAAACTCTGGCGTCGAGATTTCCAGAATACACTTTGGTTTCCAAGCTGCACTGTGATCCCAGATATCGATCGTTCTCCATAGGGAGCAAACGAGGCATCAGTGAACACCTGTAGGCCAGGACCATTCCCATCTGGAACGAGCGTTAGCCGCAAAGTCTTGGTATTGGCGAGGTAAGCTAGCACTCTCAATCCGACCTTCGTCACATACTGAGGAGCTCTTGATGCCCAACTCGACAACAGCCCTACACAGAAGGCGACGTCGAGTCTGGTCCTTTGCGATATCCATAGTAGCTCGCCGGTAATGCGCTGCGCATCTCGCAACGCCCTTTCAGAGTATCCGACTTCGTCCGCCGGTGCTTCCCTCACCCATTCTCTTGGCGCGGGTACACTTGCTCTGCAGCTAGGTGCTAATTCGTGACTTCTCACTAATTCGTCTATATAACCTTCCTGCCCTAACTTAAAACCGCAAGGGCCCTGTTCATCTTGGACCTCATATACGTCTACGCCCAGGAATCTTAAGGCTCTATGTTGCTGAGCTTTTTCTAGCTCCGAACACTGCCAACGCTCTTTAATCCATTCGTGTAGTGCCCTAGCGACGGGTAGTGTGGACAAAATCAGTAGATCGTCCACATAGACAAGTACATATCCAAGTATCGAGCCGTCTCTCCCCAAGATTTTCCAGAGGTTGTCGTCGCTGGTGGTCTGTTGTAGTCTTGCCACATCGCCTGGGACAGTGAATGACGCGGTGATCAATGTGTCGTCTCTAAATCTCGCCCACCATTTGGGGGCTTCTTTGAATCCGTAGAGTGCCCTACAAACCTCCCAGACTTCGTCAGGCTCACATATGCCTAGCACTATGAGAATAGCTGGAGGCCTTAGGGCATAGCGCTTAGTGCTTGTACTGGGTATGGGAGCAAGGAGAAATGCGTTTTTAATATCGGTTGACCAAGCTGAGTGACGCATACTCCCAGACCTGACGAGGGCAATTCTCAAGGTTTCCGCTGCCGCCCCGGATGCGTACAGTACGTCTTCCGAGACTCCCTTTGCGTAATTGCCACAGCTGACAATGCGAACCTTCCTACGGAAAGGTTTCCCCGGTTTAACGGTGAACACACACTTTGCGGGCAACACTTCGATGTCGGGGTCATGGACGAGCCTATGCGCAGCGGAACCTTTATGCCTTCTAATTGCCTGCATTCCTTCTAGAGAATTAAGTTCTTCTAGAGCTGCACCCTTCCACTTGTCGAGGTGCCTCTTTACCTCTGCAGGAGAAACCTGGTGAACTACCTCAAGCGGTCCAATCAGGTTTGCTAACAACTCTTCAACGTTAGGCGTGAATGAGGTCTCGGCTAACTTAGCGGCCTGCAGGTCGGGCCCTCCCTCCCTCTCATCCTGCTCCAGTGCAGTTATCACGGGAGGAAAATGCACATCTAACTGTGGCCTAGGTTCGGATATCGAGAACACGTCAAGTGGAGTTACTCTGCATGCTTGCGGACCTACTCCCCCTTTCTTATTTCTGCACGCATTCCCAAATTCATCCTTGTCGTCAGCATCTACCTGTATCATCCGTATGGACGGATCCCTAGCACCCGACGGATCCGGTCGAGGTGACCTAGCCAGCAAGGTCCTTGCTCGTTCTTGGGAAGAGCTTGCGGAAGCAACATACGTACTCCAAGGATTATCGCCTAGATTCTGGGCTGGTGTTGGAGCTTGAGCCCATGGAGGCTCCTGATACTCCGGTTCTGCACTTGTCGCTTGTAACCACGGAGGCGGCTCATAGGGCTCTGTGGTCCTAGTATCGGGTCCTATTTCATCTGGTGGCGTCACATGTGGCGAAGTCGGCTGTGGAGTCCACCCATCCTCCCAAGGATCAAAGGTGCTTACCTGAGGGGGTTGGGTCGAGCTTGAAGCTGCCGCAGGACCCGTGCTGGGGACCCACTCATCTTCCCAATACCCATGGTAGTATGTGTCTTCGACGTGGACTACTTCAGGTGGCTCCTCCTCGGGCGTAGCCTCAGGCTGAGGTTGATGCCAAGGCGTGCGCGAGCTCGCAGACTGATTAGCATCCGTGCGCACTCCTAGATTGGGAAGCGGGGGATCTGGTCGGGATTGTGCTAGGGTCCTATTCTGGAAAACCCAAGGTATTTGCTGAGAGTCTCTATCATAGAGTCTCACTTCGCCTGTCCTGGTGCCGCAAATATTAGGGTTATCTGGCCTCCTCGTGCCTGGAGGGTGTACGCCAAACATCACACGTTCGGCTTCCCACTTAGACAACCCGAATTCTATCAAATCTTCGACAAATAGGTATATCAGGTCTTCAGGTTCTTCTATGCCGAGCCTCTGTAGCTCAGGGAGCACCCGCTGTATATCACGTTCCCAAAGGAACAAGTTTAAATCCTTCGGGAGTGTGTCTCCTGACGGCTGATTGCGTGCAGCGCCCTCTGAAAGGTCCCACGCCACTAACTGCGTATTAGCATCCGGTTGCTCATCTTCCGAAAGAGGACCTTGAACGTCGGGCGGGGCAGACTGGCTAGAGGAACTCGCCCCTGTGGTCCAATTGGGTCTGACAGCCCTGACCTGCGGTTCGGCCTCGGAGACCCTAATCGGTAGATTGAACCCTCGGTGGTTCAGGAGGGTCTTGTCCTCCTCCTCAAGCTTGTGCACGCCTAAAGGGGAGTATCCCACAACAACCCAATCGGGATTCTTACGCACGGCGTGATAGTTCCTTGGATCAAAGGCTTGCACTTCATTTACAAGGTTCACTACGTCAGCAGAGTTCCATCTAGGGGTTGAGGGATGTTCCTTATCCTTAGGATTGTGAGGTGGTCCCATCCATAGCTCCGTAGTACCCGGGACGCATAATGCAAAATTGCAAGTACCCCACTCATTCCTAAAGTCGCGGTGCAACGGCACGTCGGAAGCATGCATCAGAAGCAGCGACGCCCACTCTGCTGGGGAGTCCGCATCTGCTATCTTGGACCTTAAGAACTTATTGAGGAATAGCGTCAAGTTAGGGTTCTGTTTACACAAGGTGGTCACTCCCCTCTTTCCCCCGTGACAATATGCCCCTAATATGAACCTCCCTTCAAAGTCGCCTCGGCGATCTGAGGTGGCTGATTCTGCGCCTTCAAGTGCAGTCACTACAGCCCTGAACTTCTCATCAGTAAAGTCCTCATTTTCTAAACACGCTTCAGCGATCGCTTCTGGACTGCTCTCTGCCTCCTCTGGTTCAAGGAATCGTACCGAGGTTTTCTCTCTTAGCCTTCGTTCTGGAGTCCTAATGCCTGGTGCCTCCTCCTCTGCAGGTGTGTCCTCAGGACCTTCAACCTCCTGGATTGGTGGTGGCACTGCTCCCTCAAGAACCTTAGGGTCTACAATTCCGGTACGAAAACCCTTAGAGGCTACTAAATTCCCTTCAGAGGTAATGAGAACATGGCCATCCGTAACGGTGAGATGGGGTGCTCCATAGGCGGCTCTCACCCAACGCGTAAGGAGCTCCTTATGGGCTCCTGAAGGACGCTTCAATTTGTGTAGAACACTTTGCCCAAAGGCCGGGAGAGGTTCTTGCTGTAAGACTGAACGGTTGTGCGATTCTGCTGCCCACCTCATAGCTAGTGGCCAGAGAGAAGCTGGAAGGGCGTTTGCTGAAAGGAGTGTTCGAGCCCGGGACTTAAACCACCCTACTATCCGTTCAGCCAAACCGTTCCCTTGCTTATCGGTGGGAATGGTTGTCTGCAGTTTCACACCTGGACCTGGGAGCCATCGAGCAAGGGTATCTGAGGCAAACTCTGTACCTGGGTCGCAGTGAAGGATGCGAAGAGGGTACTGCTGCGTTATTCGAAGGACTAACTGTTGTATCCCGGCTGTCACGTCGGGGCCGGTTTTCGATTTAAGTCCTACGAAGAATCGCAAGGTGACCAAATCCACCCTTGACCGAATCTTTTCTAACTCCTGGTCCAGTTTATCGTCCTCTAACCACTCATATTCCTCTTCTAAGCCCTGGACCCTTTCGGACGGCTCTACACTTATGGGGGAATCTCTTATCTCTGAACCAAGCTGGGTGTCGAGCGCCTTCGCTTCTACGCGCAAGTTTGGGGAATCGAACAGGTCGTCAGCGTCCTGAAGTAACGCACAGTCTGCTTCACCTCCTGGGTCAGTAGGCTCGTACTCACCAGGAGATCCCGGCAGCTCTTTGAAGGGATCATCATCTCCCCCCTTCTCCTCCTCAGGTGGAGGCTGAAACTTGGTTGCGAGCATTGACCTGGGCATTCGGTAAACTCCCACTAAACCAAACCGCAAGTGTGGGTTCCCTGACACCGATTGCTCATCCCTGCCCTTTTCAAGTGGGGGGCATCGGGCCAAATAGGTCGACAGAAAGTGTGAATGCTTGCGGCGTCTTCACCTTCCTGTGCTGCACACCTAATCCTGCTCCTTCCACACAAAACTGGCAGTCGCGGCGATATGGTAAGTGACCTCTCATGATGTGAGCTCTCCAAGCTTCACGATCCGCTGGTTTCAAGGCACTAACCTCGGCCTTGTTGCCTGAATCGCCTAGGGCTGGGTCTTCCTGGATAGGGTCTCCTCCTGCACTGTCTTCGGCAGTCTCTGACGAGGACGAGTCTCGACTGGCCGACGCTTCCGCGATCCTACTCTGAGACTCTGAGATTACCCTATCGAGTTCTTCTACGGTGGGTCCCTTTATTCTTCCCTCAAGTGCCTCTATTACCTCCTTCTTAAACCCCTTACACCATGTATCTGCACGGGAATTCGGCTCGGTGCACGCCGGGGGGTTAGGGTTACCTACACGGGGCATTCCTTGCAGGTGTCTTAGGGTGAGGTTGGTGCCTACAATCGAAGGCCGTAACCACTCGTGCCCTAATGAGCCCTGACAGAACTCAAACCTATCAACCTTAGCCCAATGCTGGAATTCCCTCCAGACCTCAGTGGTCCAGAAGGTTTCAGGGGTCAGCCTGTGACCGTTGCTCAGAGGACTGGCGGCGGAGGTTGACGGAATCTCCTTCAAAAAGGGTATGGCTTGGCCCTTTGCAGTGGAGGCAATAGACCACAGCAGAAGATCTTGGACGGCCAGGAAGCTTTCTCGTATGACCAGGGGGTCACTCGAAGAGCATGCCCACGGGTCCTCGACGCTTCGATTAGATGCATTCACCCCCGTATGGCTCCACGTACGATATGGCGGTGAGGACAGGACAATTGCAACACGTCCTTGCGCTGCCGCCCACAACAGGACGGACCACACACCAAGTTCGGCACTAAGATCCCATCCCTGCCCTCCTTGTTCCTTCACGTCAACACCAAGAAACTCTAACCCCTTTGACTGAGCCCATAACTTAAGGGGATCTCCTTCCTTGGTAACTCCAGAACACAAGTACACAAGCCAACTTCTAGAGGAATGGAGGGCTCTCCTTCTCGCCCTACTCAGTGGTAGTCGCTTGAGGAGGGTCCAGCCGTCCTCATTCGTGACGCCTGGAAGTTCTTCACACAGCTTCACCTTAATCGCTTCTGGAATCGTACGTAGATATGGTTGCGCAAACACCGCTTTAAGCATCAACCCACGCTCCCCAGTTCTAATGAATTTACGAAGAGCCTCGGTGGGGTCTTCCGGGTTGGCTATCTCTTGAAGCTCTGCCTCCATTGCCTGCACGCTACGTTCAAAATCCTTCAACCGTTGGGACTCTAGTTCTGCTATGAGCTTCAGTGCCTGGTCTTCTTGCACATAAGGGCAGGTATTAGGAGAGACTCCTACCTTGAGTGGCCCTAGTCGCGGATGGGTGACCTTCAGTCCCTTCCGTTTGCTCCAGGACACCTTACAACCCAGAGTTTGGACTAGAGCTCCAAAGGGAAGAATGGTTTGAGGCCGATCGGCGGGCTTGTCCTCTACCGGGGGTGGGATTACAAGCGTACCCCCATTAGTCTTAAACCACTCTTCTCTAGAGTCTCCAGCTAAAGTGACGCCCACGCGTTCCAAACTACCCATTTCCTTGGAATACGGAACAACAGCATGGGTCGCGCCGCTATCTAGCAATGCCTTGACCTGACCTTCTTGCTCCCCCTTTCCTGAGACGCCCTCTGTTATGACCCCTATCATACGCACTTCATGCTCCTGAGCCATTGCACGCAGGGAATCAATTTGGGCATTCAGGGATTCTAGGGTAACTGGAGTTCCTTGTGTCACTGCGGTTGTCCCAGTCTGGGGCTGCGCACCTGGCGTCGGTGCCGTGCTAATGGGAACAGCCTGTTGCACACCCTTAGGACTTGGCACTGCTTGCTGAAGAATCTGCGCTGCATCGGCCAGCATTGATTTTATTTGTTGTTGCGACATCTCCTTCGGCGGTGGTGGCGCTGTGGCATTGTTGGTAACACCTGCCGGGGTTGTCTTAGGGTTGGTCGGGCCCTTAGGGTTAGCTAGGGGGGCCTTATTCTTAGCCTTCTCCTCTCCTTTGGTGCCCGCTTTGCAATCGGACGCTCGGTGTCCCTTAGCTCCACAGTTTCTGCACCGCTGTGGTCGCTCAGCGGCCGGAATCGAAGACCAATTATGCGCGAAGGTACACTCTGCGCCCTTCTTGCACCCTCCAGGCGACGTGAAAAACGTACATGGGGTGCCAGTGGTGTTATTTCCTTCTGGGTTCATCGTCTGCTTGGGGTTAGGACTACCCTTGGTACTGCCCTTACCCCCCTTTGGGTTCTTAGGGTTATCTTCTACACCCCTAACCTTGGCGCCTCCGGCTGGCACGGTGTCCTTCGGTGCCTTGTCCTGATCCTTAGACCCTGCCCTATGCACTATGGCCTCTAGTTCCCCTAACATCTGTGCATGGAGTTGGGTGACTTTCAAGTCATCTGGGGTAGAGTCTATTTGGAGTGCGGCTCGAGTTAAATTGATGCGGAAGGCAACGTCGGGATTCGACTGTAACACCACTCTAGTTATCTTTTCTAGCGCTTTCACTCTCAACGCGCTATCGGGTAGAGTTCCTCCTAACTCTACCATACGGTCGCACCATCGGGCCCACTTACGGAGCAAATCTACCGTGTCCTTAACTGTCGTTCCTGAACTTGGGTCTTGAATATGCTTGAGACCTATCTCTCGCTCATTTAAACCTCCAGGTGCGTAGATCACATAGAGGCGGGCAACGACAGCAAGCAGTCCCGTGACTCTCGCTGCACTTAGCTCTTCGCGAACCGAAGCGGGGCACGCCGCGATTATCATGGTCTCGATGCGACGCGATACCCTTGCCCATTTCACCTGAGTCACATCTTCCGACGGTATCGGCTTAGAGGTGAGTTTACTGACGGCATCAAGTCGCAGATACCTAGCATACCATTCCTTTGCCTCCTTCAACACCAACATCCACAACTCTTCGCTAGTATCAGAAACATCGCTTAAAGCTGGTTTGCTGGCGTGTATCCAGTCTGCAAACTGGAGGCAAGATTCTGCACCTACGCTTGGTAGCTCGGGAAGGGAGTTGACGCCTGGTTTAATGACCTCTTGTCGAACCTGCTTTGGGCTATTAGCTAAGTCTGCTACCACCCCTTGCAGTTGTGCCATACCAGTTAGTACGACACTCATAGGATCACTGGCACTCACCTCGGGGATCGCTGGAAGAGGATCATCGGGTCCTTGGTCACGGGACTCCGCTGGGCCAAAGTCCAATGCCCTCGCTGTTGGAGCCCACTGCTCTGGGTAGGACTTAGTAGTGGCTTCCGAATGTCCTATCCCGTTCATAGTAACCCCAGCACGAAGTCCATAGGCTGTCCTCTCTTCTGTGGCCTCAGGTGCAGGCACTGGCCCTGGACGTTGGTGGATAGCGGCAGCGGGAAGGTGAGTCGCAGCACTGGGAAGAGGAGGAACTGAAGCAGTTGGAGGCGGAGGTGGGGGTCGTAAATCCATGAGCCCTTTTGGAGGGGATGTAGGTTTAGGTGAAGTCACTCCACTCATGAGGTTCCCAAAGCCTCTTCCTATCCACTCCAAGCTAGAAAACCTTCCAGGTCCCACGGGTCTCGGTGGTTGATCACGGCTGTACAACTGATCCGAAACTTCCTGCCGCAAAGTCCGGTTTTCGGACATTAACAACTCCACTCGCGTCCTCAGCTCACGGTTCTCCTCGTCTCTCTGGATCATAAATTCTTGAACTTGTCGCCTAACTTCGGCCTGGATGTCACTCGAAGTGGTCGAGGGCGGCTTCACACCAGACGAGGGCGCTTCAGGCGCATATAAATGTGGCGCCGCAGTTTGTAGCCCATTCAAGCGCTGTAAGGTATGCTCATCCAGTAGTGGGGTAGACGGCATCGGGACCGCCGGTAGCCCTTGGCCACTTCTCTCCGGGCTTCCAGAGGTAGCTGACACAAACCCACCATTACTCCCAGACTGAACATCCTGAGTCGGAGGTCCTGTTGTTGTATTCCCCAATAGGCCTTCGACAGCAGCTGGAATAGCTTGAACTGCTTTAGCCACTCCTCCCAAGAATGAACCCTGACCACGTCCAGTCATCCCTGGTCCTTCCAAGGGCGTCCTCTGGGCTCCCGCTCGAGGTCCTTGTAAGAACCCGCGGGCAGAAGCTGAAGAAATAGTTGCTCTGGAGGACGATGGCACTTCAGTGTCAGTTGATCCTTGGGCTGCCTCAGCCGGCAATGGAGTCACCTGAGTAGACCCAACGTCTCGAGGTGCAGTCCCCGACCTGACGGTAGTTGTTGTCTCACCATCCATATCATACTGGCTGCGCGGAGGTGGTAGAGGTACTCCGTTAGGTAGAGGGTCGCGAGGTAGCGGTTCCTGGGGCGAAGCCTGAGCACCGCTTGGGCTCATAACCTGTGTTTGACCTTATACCTGGTCAATATCATATGCCCACCCGCACTGGCGAGTACAGCCACTCATCAGGCTGCCCCTACCAATGCGACGCGCTGGCCTTAAGGGCTACCAGCTTCTCACACTCCCCCCGCTCCACAGCCTATGCGAAGGAGTGCTCCCTGCCGTAACTCCCCCAGGCCCAGCAACCACCAGCAATGGCTGAGAGGTCTGCGCCACCTGGCCTCTCCATTAGGCGCTCATTGCCCCAACCATTGGCAATGCCATGCTGTGATACCACCCATGACCCCGACCGCCCTGGCAAAAGCCACCCGCTGTGCCCACCAGACTCTCAGCAGCCGACATGAAGTAAACCCCCCACAGCTTTAGGCCACAACCACCAAGCCCACTACCAAGCGGTGTTTTGCACAGCAGCCCGATACTTGGGCTCATAACCTGTTGAACGTCGTCGTTCATGATG